TGATTCCCAGCCAGTAGTGGGTTTCAAATTTAAATTGTAAAACGCGAACTATTTCGAACAAGGAAACCAAGTAAAATACATAGTACACTATACGAATATGTAAACCAGGTTATGAGGAAATGTGAGGTGATTGAGTTACTGTCATAGTTGCGATTTTTTCCATAGACTTTTTTCTTAAATTTGCCATAATAATTAATGAGTTTATAAAAAAATATTCTGGTACGAAAACGTGATATAATAAAATGTAGAATCAAAACCCATCATTCTTTTTTCAATATTAATTGGTATTTTTTTGATGTCTCTTAAGTCCCACAGTCTAATTTCAGCCCACTGTGTGCCAGCTAGAAGTGTCTGACAATACTTAATATTACTTTTAAACTATTAATATTTAATATTCTTTAAAATATACATATCGCACCCCTAGATCTAAAATGAGCTAACTCAAAATTCAGCTTCAACGCAATTAATACACAGTTATAACAGTAGTTTTTTAGTTAATGAAGAAAAAATATTTACATTAATTGGATGAGTCCTATGAATTGATTTATTCGAAAAAGTCGCCCTAATTTTTTTTTAGTTGATTGCACTTTAGATCTTGGTGTGCGATATGTACATACAGACATACATATGTACGAAAAAGATTAATAAGAAACTGTATGTCGCATTACCGAGTGTTTTTCGTTTAACCGGCACCGACATATGTACATTACCCGGGTACTCGGGCATATCGGGTAATACCAATACCCAGGTATCAGCCCTAATTCATACATATATACATACATATTAAGGATGCCAAAATATGCGGAAAATTGTGATCCCGGGATCTCGGGATATTTTATAAGTAATCCGGGATCCCGGGATTTATCCCAGGATTCACATTGAGACATAACTTTTAGAAGATGGTAGTGATTCAACAAATACAACAATTACTTGTTGTTGTTGTTGTTGTAGCGGCTACAACAACCCCGCCCAGATCGGTTGGTATCTTAGTCGTTGTCGTCAAGTTCCACTAACGGCAACCCTAGGAAGCGTGCAGCTTCTGTGGGGTTTGTCCACAGGGACAAGGCCGTTAGGGTTGTCGGGTTTTCCGGGCATGCGAAGAGATGTTTCGAGTCATGTGGGGTCTCTCCGCATGCCGGACACTCATTCGGCACATCCTCATTCAACCTACTCAAGTAGGAGTTCAACCTGCTGCAGTAGCCGGAGCGAATTTGTGCGAGTGTTGTGCGTGTCTCCCGAGGCAGATGAAGCTCCGTCTCGTCTATGTCCGGGGGTGGTATGCCTAGAACGGCATTCACAGGTCTAGAGTCTACATAACTCGAGACTGAGTCCCTGTGAATGCCGTTCAAGGCCTGTCTGTAAGCTGTCGGGTCCAGGGGTTGCTTAATGTAACCTCTGGACTTCGTCCATCAGTTCATATAGATGCCTCCTGACGTGCCTAGGCGAGGGCTCCTCTGCAAGCAGCTGTGTGCTTGGGTGGCCACTTCTGTGGCTCCCGATCAGGAACTGCTTGCAGAGCATTATATTATGCTCCTTTACAGGGAGCATTTGCGCCTCGCCGTGCAGGTGGTGTTCAGGCGACATCAAGAGGCATCCCGTCGCTGTCCTGAGTGCGGTGTTCTGTACAGTCTGTAGCTTCGTCCACTGCGTCCTACTAGTCCCTGGCGACCACACTGGCGCTGCGTAGTTCAAAACCGGCCGGCCTATTGCCTTGTATGTTGCCAGCAACGTTTCTTTGTCTTTGCCCCAGGTACTGCCGGCTAGCGACTTGAGGACCTTGTTGCGGCTCTGTACTTTATTGACAATAGCGGTTGAGTGCGCAGAGAAGGAGAGCAGGCTGTCGAATGTTACTCCGAGTATTTTGGGGTTATTCACCGTCGAAATTGGTGTGTCATCGACGTGAATCCCCAGCGGTAGCCTGACCTCCTTCGTCCAGGTTGTGAACAGGGTTGCGGAGGATTTCGTAGGGGAGAGGGCTAGACACTTTGCAGTGAAGAAGCGAGACAGTTCGGAGACATAGCCGTTTACTTTCGAACACAGGTCATCAATTCCATTCCCAGTCGCCATGATCGAGCAATCGTCGGCATAGGAGACAATCGAGACTCCCTCTGGTGGTTTTGTCTCTAAACATTACCGACGAATGTCGACCACTCAGATAATTTGCCGACCACCGTTTGAGCCTCTGTGGGAGAGAGGAGGCCTCTATATCTTCTAGTAGCGTGGAATGGCAGACGGTGTCAAACGCCTTTGACAAGTCCAACGCTACTAGAATCGTTCTCTCACAGGGACGGTTACGGTTAAGACCACGAGTTATCTGAGTGTTTATGGCGTTAAGTGCTGTTGTTGTACTGTGCACTTTACGGAAACCATGCTGATGCTTCGCTGGGGTCAGGTGGTTTGTGAAGTACGGGAGTAGCAAGGCCTCGAGTGTCTTCGCTACCGGGGAAAGGAGTGTAATCGGACGATACATTCCCACGACAGCCGGTTCTACGTACCGGAATTACTCGGGTTTCACCCGACCAAGGGCTGTTGTTTCGGCGATCTAACCCCGTTTAGGTCGGCGAAGTATCTTAGAAGTTGTCCGTCCATAGGGCTACATTCAATAACAATTACTTGTATTTTGTTTTTGCTTTTAGCGGGCCATCGCCAAATCTCAGCTATTCTTACCCGAATGAAAAAAGGCGACGGAAAACACAAACACACTCACGTTTTCACTCAAGTAGGGATCATGCGATTTGTGCATTTGTACAGATTTGTACGTTTTGGCAGTCACAAAGTGGCGTTGTTTAGAAATTTGAGTTCGGCTCAATAAATGATCTTCACTTCACTCACTACCGAAATACAAAATTTTGACAATCAAACGCTACTCACAGCTAATGAAACAACATCACTGTAGGGTAATTAAACTATATGTTTTTATACTTGTTTAAATTCTTTATGTTCAATTTATGGTTCAATGAATTTGTTTGTTATCAAAAAGAAAATTGGAACTTGCTGTCGAGATAAATAAAATTTCTTCCATACTCATGGGAAAAATTGGCGGTATTGGAAAAGGGGGCGTGGCACTTCCCATAGGCGTGAATTATATAATCAGCTCTAACTTCGGAACCATAAGTCACATGAACTTGAAATTTGGTATGCAAACATATCTATGGTAGATGCTTATCTTAAAGTATGTATATATAAATGAGTTTGTAAGAAGAGGCGTGGCAGATAACATAGACGGGGAATTTTTAGTCAGTCATAACTTCGGAACCATAAGTCACATGAACTTGAAATTTGGTGTGCAGACATATCTATGGTAGGTGCTTATAGTAAGGATATACATACATATATAAATGAGACTGTGAAAGGGGGCGGCAAATTACAAAAGCGTTGAATATTTTAGACAAACATATCTATGGTAGGTGCTTATAGTAAGGTGTATATAAATGAGTTTGTAAAAGGGGGCGTAGCACTTAACGTAGGCTTGGAATTTTTTATCAGCCATAACTTCGGAACCACAACTCACATGATCCCTTTAATTCCTTCTGGCGTGGGGTGAAACCCGCTGGTAAAATCTAGTACACAATAAATGCTAGGTTTTAGAGATGCTACATATTATGGACACCCCTAATGCAACACTGATCTTCATATGACAATTTTCATGAATTTGCATACAGAAAAACTTCGGACTAAATCCTGCAACTTCATACTGAGAGTATGCATATTTTACTCTCCCGAAATTGCTCTCAGTTAGAGGAAATTTGCCTGCTGGAACGATTTCGGACTAAATCTTGCAATCGTACTGTTGCAACGCAACTAGTATTAGTCGTTTTTAATCAAGGAATGAAACCGATTCAAAATAGCGTTAAGGTTTCGGTTTTGCAAAGTGTTTATACTTCGGTTTTTGTTTCGTTCTTCAAAATTTGTTTCAGTTTCGGTTTCATTCCACTTTCGGTTTTGGAATAAAAAAATGAAAACAGGTTTCACAAAAAAAATATTAAATAAATGGTTTGTTTTTGGCGAAATTAAACATTGTGATTAGTTTTAATTTATGAAAAGAAAGCAACAACCAATTATACAAACTAATAACCATATTCCACCACATTTGCTTAGATCTAAATGCATAAATTTGTTTATTATATTATTTGTTATTTAATGAGACTTGTTGCTGATAGGTATTTGATATATGTACATACATACATACATACATACATATAAGTGTGATATTCACAGAAATTTTGTTGATATTATAATATAATTAACAATAATTTGAAAAATTGTTAGAAGTGATAGTTATTTCGGAAATGACCACATTTACTCATCAAACTTCTTTCAGTGGGGCTCGATCCAACGACCCCAGCTGACTTAGCTAGTTGCCTACGCACTGTGCTAAGTTCGCCTTAATTATTGTTGCCTTTTCCACTTTTTCATTTGTTAAGTCAACTACAATCAAGTGCAGCTATTCCAGTGCTATTTAAACTTGATCATGTGGGTGTTGATTTCGTTAGTTTTTGTTAATAATTCTATTTTTAGAATGTTTTAACTTTTAATTGTGCTCGTCCTTATGTTATTTGTTTTAGTTTTTTGTGATCTTATAACAATTATTAATTACCAATATGCGCATATATGTTGGAAGGTATCTATGTATGTTCATATGTACAACAAAAAATACAATTCGCCATATGCAGCAATAAAAATGTTATTTTTTCACTGGACAAAATAAATGCAAAATGATAAAAGAAATGCCAGGACGAAGCCACATAATTACAAAAAAATGTGTGCAGCGTATTAAACGTTGATAAGTAAAAAAAAAGATTAACAACGAATATGCTAAAAATAATATTCGTACATATGTATTTGCGTTTGCGAGTATATTACTCGTATATATATATGTATACACATATGTATATACATACATATATGTACAATAGAAAAGTCCAAAGGAATTCATGTTAAGACTGCAGGAGTAATCAAAGACATTCGTTTCATGATTTCAGTGAACTTAAGAAACTTACCTTACTTTTCCTCCGCAAAACTGGCACTCCGGCCCTTGCCAGCCATCAGCACATAGGCATTGGCCGTCCTTCTGACACTGTCCTTCATTTTGGCATCGATTGCCCTGAGCTGTGCAATTAAATGCAGACACCCGGCTCAACTCACTGAAACAACTATGGAAGATTAACAGTAGCAGGAGGAACAAAAATTTCCGCCGGTATTTCGCGTTAAATATTGGTAAAATATGCGCAGGTGAAATTGAAGCTATCATTATCGACACGTTGCAGTTGGAAGACGACAGCAGGGACAATTTTAAAGGCCTCACCGACTTAGCAGGTGGCACAATTCTCCAATCAGCTAATGGGGTTTGCTTGGCTGTGCCTCCTATTTGAGAATACCGTTCTGATTGAGATTGCTTCAGCTGGAAGTCTCGCTTGCCGTTGGCATTATGCTTTTTCCTGTAGCATACGAGTTTTGTTAAAGCCCCACACATATTTTATTTGTAATACTTTTTTTGATTACTCAACATTTACTAGTTTTCTTTTATTTCAGAGCCATTGACTGACATTTTTATAACATATGTACTTTCAACACAATTGTTAACGCCTTGGCAAAACCCGAAAATAAAGATTTCACCGATCAACCACCTTCTTTCTCGGCCAGTGGGTCTAAATGATGGCTATTTTGTCTTGGTTTTAAAATTCGTTCAAACTACGGATAATAATTGAATTAGAACAACAAACGTCGTTGTAATCACTTAAAAATCTATTATTTTGGCTTAATTTTGCAAGAATCTGGAATTATTTTCAGACATTTCTATTTTCGACTTTCTTTGACTTTTCCCTTCGCAACAACAATTCGCTATTTGTGAGCTACCAGGTGGTTTTTTTTTTCTAATTCTAAGACCTGCCACACTGTGTCATTTTATTGTTAAAATGGACAGAAAACGTATACGTTCTTTATTCATTTTCATAAAAACCCATGTCTTTTCAAAAACCTGCGCATATTCTTTGATTTTCATAGTAAACTGAAATGTTCTAATTCTTTCTAATCAAATCAAAGAGTAAAGGTTTTAATTTCTTAAAATTCTGTTTATTAAAAAGGTAATGCAAAAATACATCCCTGACAATTTCTTATTGGTTGGTTATTCGGGCTCATACACGAATCTTCGAACTTTCTATTTTCTGTGATTGCGTTGTGAACAGGAACACCTTTTTTCAGGAAAATATTTGGGCTCGCCAATTAGTGAAGGTGTATAATACCATAGGAAAATATTTCAACAAAACAGGTAAATGGTCATCAAAAGTTGTTAAAAAGCTCATATGAAAAGTTTTTATGAAAAAATTTAGGCTCGTCGAAACTTATAGAAAATTGAAATGGCTGAAGTTGAGAAAGTTTCAACTACAGCGACGAGTTCTCCTGAGGTGGTACCTGCCGCAGATATACCTTTGTCCGAGATTGGGGAAGCCGCAGGCAGCAACGCAGTAGAGTTTGGAACTTCCCCGACACAGGAGCGGTCGAGTAACTCCCATCCTCATGATTCGGAATATGATACAGCCTCCGACCTCGAAGGCGGGGGTGAAGAATACGATGATGATGAGGAAGATGACGATTTAGATGATGATAGTATAACAGATGGGGAAAGCATGACCGATGATGATGACGACGACGATGAAGAAGATGTAAGGCAAGGTAGCGTTAGTTTGGAGAAAGCCGAAATAGAAGCGCAAAAGAAAGTAGATGAGGACCGTAGCAATCCGCAGTATATACCAAAGCGAGGAACATTTTATGAACATGACGACCGTACTGCTGAGGGAGAGGCAGAAAGAGTGGTTAACTTAGATGAAATCGGGGAAGCACAGGATGGATGTGTGGGAAGTGCCAAGCCCCCGCAATCGCCAACAATTTCTCATGCCTCAAAAACAATGAAGAAATGGCAATCAGCATCTGCGGTAGAACGTTGGAGTCATGACCGGTTTGATGCTTCAGAGCAAGCACCAAAGTCACGGGCAGAGCTAGTTTCCTCCTACGGTTACGATATACGTACAGAAGATGCGCCACCGCGTGCTCGCCGTCGCCGAAGATACGGGCGAGGCCCCAGTAAGTATTCTCGTAATTGGGAAGATGAAAGTGCATATTTAAAGGCTAGCAATAAAGAACGCAAACCGCCCCGTCCATCTGATTTCCCTGTATTGAACGAACGTAGTACCCCTAAAACTCGTAAAACACATTTAACTCGCGAGGAAAAAGAAAATCGAGCAGATAGGCGATCAGGTGGCGAAAAATCTGGAAGTTCTCGGCAACCTCCGTTTCAAGAAGAACGACGTGATGTGAAAGGCACGGTAGGTAAGGGGAAATCTTTCAGTCACCAGGTGGGCCACTCTGGCCGACAAGCGCCAATGGAATTTAAGCAAAAACAACGTAATTCCCGGCAGGTTGGTAATTTTTATAAAGATTCTCAAAGCATTCGTAACGACGCGCATTATGATCGACAGAACAATCGCAACCATTCAAATGGCCAACAAAATTCTGGAATGACAGATCACCCACAACAAAAAGCGGGAAATGGTAAGCAGCAAACACATTCCAAGCACTCTCAACCCGAAAGTGCGTATGCTCCAGTTGTTGGCAGTTCAGCATCCACGAGTGGAAGTAGCAATAATCACCAATCATATCAGCAACAGCAAAATTCTATTGCGTCAATACGCCAACAGCCACAATCTAAAAACTCACCAACCACATCCAATTTATCGCAGCGGTTGCAACAAGTTCAGAACCGCAACGATCCAAGTCACGTTGGCAGCATTCAAATGCATGCTTTAGCTTCTCAAAACCATATGGCTAATCAGCAACAGTTGACCGGTAATAATGTAATGAATAATCAACAAGGTAGTCAGCAGCCCCAAACAATGCAGCAGATCTCTCAAGAGCAGCGGGGACCACCAAAGCGTTACTCAAGTCTGCGTCGTTCACAACACGAAGCGCAGCATATAACTGAACAAATGCAGCAAATGCATCTGCAACAACAACAACCGCCGATGATAATTCAAGACCAACACATCATTCAAGCTAACCTCATGCAACTTTATCATCAAGAAAATATCCAAGCAATGCAAGTACTACAACCAAATCAAACACAAAGTCAATCTCAGAAGCCCGCTTCAAGCTATGCTACGGTGCCAGCACCAACTCAAGGCCCACCTTATCCTAACGGTGGTAATAATACAAATCCACCAGCAACATTTTACGTTGCTCCCCCAGATGTTTACACTGCCTCTGCCACCGCTAATCCCCAAGCGCAACCTCCAGGACAATACACACAACAGGCACCACCAAACTACCTGCCAACATCTTCCGCAACAACTACAGCCACACTGGGGTATGCTGGAGGACCGGCTTCAGCGGCCCCACCTCAAGTTGCAGGATCTCCTGCAGCGGCATTCGGCACGTCCTCCGCTGTGCCTCCTTCATCGGCCGCCACCGCTGCAGGAGCTGCAACTACAAGCACTAATTCAAACTTTTCGAATTATCAAAACTACAACACAGTTGGAGGAACTACATATTTTGTACCGCCAGCACAAGCCACTACTCGTCCGGTTGTACTACCACAGCGACGTCCGACAAACGCCATACCTATATTGCCCCCATCCGAGAAGAATAAGCAACGCAACTCAGAGTCTAAAGAAGATGGCAAAACTCTTGTTAACAACTCAACTACGCAAGGAAATTGCCAGCTTTTGGCTCCCATTGGTAGCGTAGAAAACATTGATCATATAATTGATAATATGTTTGTGCAGCGTCCGGCTTTCCAGCCACCACAGCCAGCTACTTCTAATCCCACTCGCAAAAGTTCCTCGCCTTCAACGAATGCAGACAACAGCAATGGGGAAAACAGTGGTAATGTCAATAGCGGTGGTGGCATAATTAATTCGCCACTTACTGACGATGTTGTCATAGCAAATAATGCTGCGAATGGGGAAAAATCTTCAAATGCAGAAAGTGCTCAAATAGAAAAAAATGTTAACAACTCTATGTTACTAACACAGGAATGAGACTATGTAAACGTCATACGCATAGATATGAATTAGGAAATTATGCACCCCACTTTCTTAAAAATTATAAATATCCATAATAATCATGTCTTTTAGCTATAACGATATGAAGGAATGCAAAATACACGAAATACATTAAGTGAATTTCACGAATTTCGATTATTGAGTCAAGTAAGAGAATTTATTATGATGCTTCTGTTTTATTTGCTTAAACTTTATTCTGTCAAAAGTTAATACGTGTTTGCATATACATACATACATATACATGAATTTTAATAAATTAACTGTAGCTTTAAAAATTGTAGAAAAGAAGCGTATTTTTCATGAAATAGATTTGTTATTTACCTTAACTGCATACATGTACATACGTATGTATGTAGGTATGACTGATTTTCCTCTTCGAATAAATATAAAGATATATTTTATTCAACACAATTTTTTATGTTACGAGCATTATAGTCAAACAAAACTTTGAAGCTGCGACTAATGAAAATCAATTCGGCTGGCTTTAGTCCACATGAAATTGAAGTTTTTGTTGTAGCAGCATACAAGCTTCCCAAATAGATACATACATAAGTTTGGTATTTGCTATGCAGAATCGACGACGAGCTCAAACGACCGAAAAAATTACCAAAAATCAACGCCATCCCACCTTTCATTTAAAAGAAGAATTATAGAAATCGGAAGACGTGGCCCAAAGTTACATACATAAAAAAAAGAATAGTAGGTAATATTCCGATAAATTGATAACCTTCTCCTTTTTTTGAAGTTGGTAAATAATCATACCTGAAGGTCATAATCTAAAAAATTAAGACCTTAAGAAAAGCGGTTTTTAAGTTTACAGTTTACCTACTCTTCCATGATATAAATGAGGACACATTTTATTCGATGCAGCTATGAAATTTGTGTGCACATAGAAGGGATGGCGGACATCTCTGCATACTTTACTAATTTTTTTTTTTTAGATTACGGCACTTTTGCAGAGAAGGTACCATACGTTCATATATTTATGTATTTACACAAATACATCAAGTGTAAAGCCACTAATTTGTCGATAGGTGATGCCGACGAAAAACAGACGACGAAAGGCATAATATGGCTGATTATCTTCAACTATTGAAGCATTATATGATTCTAGCTTGGAAAAAACATAGAAAACATCCATGTTGTTGTTACAACAGCATACAAATTCCCCAAAGAGATTTTGGGGAGTGTTGCTGGAGTGACAGTCCTTGGCCAGATATAAATCTGGGTCGTTCCGGTTACGTAGACCCGACTGTCGTGGGAAGGGACTATCCATGTTCTTGATCGGTATTTGCATACGTATTTATGTATAAATATGTAAGCAGAATTTAAGTTTTATTATTGCTATTTGTTTGATTTATTCAACATTGATGAAAGGGGTAGAAAATAAATACAACTTAAACTTGATTTCATAAATGCAAAAGAAAATATGAAAAGATAAATTGATAAAAATTACATACAAGTAAGCAAGTATGTGCATGAAAATCATGAGTTTACATTAATTTGTTAGCGTTTTTTAGTGATGTAATTAATTCTTACTATGGTAATGCTTAAAAGAAATCCATATGCTCAACTAATCTTATTACGAAGATAGAACTTAACTAGCTGTATGCAGACTTCAGCATCCTCTGCACTATCGTGACCAGCCTCTGAAAATTTAAAGTTTTAATTTAGCAAGCAATAAGTAAGAAATATGTTAATTTCATACCATTTTCTTGTATGATGCGTTTTAAATTTTCAATGCATAAAGTTTTTAGCGCACGCTTTTTTGGTGGTCCCATTTTGTGAGGAAATAATACCGATGTATCTACTATCACACTGTGTATTATCTTCAAAGCCTTTAAATCACTATCCAAACTGTGGCCGACTAAAATACTCTTCGAATGGAACATAGACATTAGAATGGCTTGAACATCACGCAATGTGCGGGTCTCGTGCTTCAGCATCGCTTCTGTTATACCAGAATAACTGCAGAAAAATTAAAACAATTGAATTTGAGATAGTAAAAAGAGCACATGAGTTCGCATCCAACTTACATAGTATTATAATCTATAATTTTATTTTCTGGTTTTACAAGCGCATCGTATACTGTTCGCCCATTGATATCTACGACCGTCACGCGTGTCAACTCGATGCCATTTGTGGTGTAGCACATTTCACAATCGAGAGCATAAATATCTTTCTTTGTTGGTATGTAATCAACATCCTTTTCGATTGTTGTAACAAAGCCGGTGAGATTATCCAAATCTACAAAGTCGGCAACATGATAATTAGCATATGAGCAGCCAGGAGTTCCGGCTGGTTGCTGACAGCAACGATGATGATTGTCCGCGAAACCTTAATGTCCAAAGCAAAAGTTCGTTGACTATAAGAATTTTAAGAAAATATGATTTTATTTACACAAACCTCTGCGGTAGCCGGCACTTTTAGGGTGGTAATTACATTCGTCCACACACACCTCATCATAAATTTTCGAATTAAAAACCTTTCCGCATCGACTACAGTAGCGTTCGTCTGCATTTGGGCGCCTTGAGGGCTTAGAATTCATTATTATTGCAACGCCAGGACCTTTTCCTGGCCGCGGGAAACCATTTGAAATTAGTTGTTCTTCTGTAAGACATAACTCGTATACTATGTCGTATGCTTTATCTCCTGGCAGCTTATCGAAAGGTTCATTTCCATCGCTGGCATCACTTCTTCTGCAAGCATTTTAAAAATACTTTATTCATATATAATTTTTTGATTGTGGTATGTACATTAGGGTGGGTGAATTTTTTACTATGCGCGTATAGGATATGAGGATTCTACGTGTAATTCAAAGCAAATTTGCAGAGGAACCCATGCACAACACTATTAAGCTAGCATTTCAAGGTACTATTTTATATACATATATATGTACATACAAATGTATATGGAAAACTTGGAACTTAGGAGGCCATGTCCCATTCGCAATTTGGCAAACTCCAAATTGATTTTAGACACACGGTTTTTCCGAAAATTTTTTTAGAATCACTCGTAGAATCCTGTGCTATACGCTCATAGTAAAAAAAAAATCTCCCATAAAAATTTACCCTCCCTAATATATATATCGTTAGCTTAATATAGAAAGGCCCTATATAACATTTTTATTTCTTTGTAAAGATTTTTTTTTTTAATTTAGATATTATCCATTCAAACACTGTGTGTGGTTTAATACTGCGATAGTTATTTTTATATTCTATTAGATGGTTAGTGAATGGCCTGCCGACTTTTCTACAAAGGAGGATTTCAAAAGAAAATGAGTTAGGCCCTTTCTGTATTAAGCCAACAATATATACATAAAAAATTCAGCTTACATTTTTTTCTGGACACTCCATGTATTGCTTTTAGCTAGTTTTCCAGCTAATATGACTTCATGAGACACCATTCTGTTTGAGTTGGCAGGTTTATTTCCAGAATCTAAATTACAAAATTACGATCTGTTCAATGTAAAATTATCAACAATATACTTAACCTGTCGCTTCTTTTCGTAGTTTATTAATAGCTAACAAGGCGCTACTTTTGTATATAACAGGAGTATTACATTTCTTAAAAACAGCAAGTTCTTCTGTCTGTGCCTAAAAATCCAAAACGTAATGTAAAATGTCTTGTTATGTTAGGTATTAAAGAACTCTGAAAATATTAAATTATGTTTAGCTATCTACTGTAAATTTTTTTTAAGTAGAAATTATGTATCGCTCCTTTAAGCGGTAAGGCACAGATTTATACCTAGCCAAGGAGTGTCAATTCCCTAGCATTCCCAGACACTATTTGAGAAATTTGTATGCTCTTAGATAGATATGTATATATAACGGTGAATTCGCGCTCCGGCCCTGGGTTTATTATGGTCTAAAAACTGATTAGAAGGCCACGTCTAGCCAAACCCAAATGAAACCTAACATAACCATAGCTCCCCAAATATGTTGCAGTGTGTTTTGCTGCCTTGTTCGACCTTGAACCTTTTCATAAATACTCTTGACCCAGTGATCTCTGTTGAGCTGCGTGATGGTGTTTGTGTCTATCAGAGTAGGATGGGAAATAGGTGGTCCTCCTCGATTCTGAAGTTTTAAAGCAGAGGTCGAAAATATCCCTCTCCACTTTGAAAGTGTCCCAAAATAGCCGTCACTATTCAAGAAAAAAAATAACCCACAAAACAGAACAGGTGGCTTATTTTTGTAGATGTGTGCTCCTCTCAGTGGGAAAGGCTTATTTGCATATACTTTTCCCTTGTCCAGGACACTTACCGCTGGAAGAGGAAAAATAAGTTGTTGTTGTTAGAGCGCGGTTACCCATGAACGCCCTTATATTAGCAAAATTTTTAAATGTACCTTGATCTTAATCTTTGCATTTATACTTTTCTTTATCAATAAAATAAAATAACTTATTTTCGGTGTATCATATTATGAATGTGCACGCTCTCTTCTTTGTCATAAATGTTCGCACATGTATGTGTACGTATATGTCGTGTAAAGAAACGCCTAACGCTTCGCTTCCACTTATGTACGCTCACTTATATTTTTCCGTCCTAAAATAATCCACAAATTAAGACACTAAAAAAAGGTCCCTGCCAAAGTCTTTGCCTAAGGGAAATTTTAGCAGTTGATAAATAACCCACAAAAAGATCGCACAGAGTGATATGCGACGGTGAGAAACATTCTTTGCTTGAGAGATGAGTGTTTGTGTAAACACCATACAAGACACTTGGTGACGGTTATTTTCGATCTCTGGTTTAAAGTCATTTGACTATGGGCAGCTTTCAATGTTGTTCCAACATCAACCATAAAGTATGTATATAGTACTTAAAAATTGAGTGTATCACCGATGTGACAAGCCGAAAAGTCAGATTTTTCACGAGACGCGTTAAGTATTCTATTCACAAAATATAGCACATCTAGTTTCTCAGTGTAACTCTCAGTAAATAGTTCAAATATCCCGTTTTTTTTTTTTTGAGTTTTGGAAGTCTTTTCATAAATGAGCAATACGTAGTTACCCGTTCCCACGCATCAGCCATAGTCGGATATATAGCTAAGCAATGTTTCACCATCATCTCGTAATATTGCATACGTATGTTAAATGAGATTTTAGAAGAGTTCGATTCCAGTACTGGTGGTTTTGCTGGCTTTACCTAAACAAAATAATATGAAACACTATCGGTCAGTTGTAATGAATAAAATGAACGTACGGTTTCTTTGGTCGCTAAAGCTGTGGTAACTTTATGGGCAACACGTTCTCCCTTTTTTGTCGTTTGCGATGGGGTAAATGCTGGCTGCTTTTCGGCTCTAAGTTCGTCTACTTTCTTCTTGGCGCGCTCTAACGCAATTATATTGGCCACAGGGGCAATAGTGCGAGCTAAAAAAGGAGGAACATTTTTCATATTCATTTCTTTTTTTAAATAATAAAAATATACAGCCGGTTCGGATGGGTGGAGTTAAGTAACTTTTCGGTATGAGTGGCGTTAGTTGACTTTTTTCTTTGGCCTTGCGAAGTGCTTCCGTCGCTTCCCGTACCTTTTCCTCTGCGTCTCGTACCGCAGCCTCCACCACCGAAGCTTCCTCTTCCCGTTTGCGATGCATAGCTGCTTGTCTATTGAAAATAGCCTTTAATTTGAATAGAAAAACGAAACATTGGAAAATAAATGCAAAAATACAAAAATACGTATTTGTTTTATCGTGGGTGCTTACTTGCATCGCATTGCGTATGTGATCTGGTTTACGTAATAATAACGGAGATTGCAATTTTGATTTTTCCGCATTGTGGTAAGCAACACGTTTTTTTTGCAAAGCACTGGCGGTGGATTCATCATCTTGTGATTGTTTACGTTTCAATGGATTAGATTCATGAGTTACATTTTTTTGTTTATTAGCATCGTCTTTATGCAGAGAAGCAAAATCTTTTTCCAGTTGCTCGTAGATCATTTGACATTCTTTATTAATTTCTTCCGTTATTGGAAACTGGCCTGTACTATCAGTCAATTTGCTTGTAGGGACCTGAACTATTTCTGAAACACTGATATCTGTTTTTGAAGAGGATGAAGATTTCGTGGAACTTGTTTTTGAACCACGGTGGTGTTTAGTTGTTTCTTTAATCGTTGATGAAGTAGACGACAGTCTGATTTTCGATGATCGGGGAGCAGAACTTGATTTTTCATTTTTACTATCGACATGAACTCTCTTTCGGTCTTTATCTTTTCTCAAGCTTTCTTCTTGTCTATGCTCTTTGTGTTTTTTATTTTCTGTTTTGTGTCTTTCTCTACTGTGGCTTTTCGATACTTCTTTGAAGATAACATCCTTATTGTTGTGCCTTTCCTTTGAAACCGATTTATCATTTGAAACAGGACTTTCTGTTTTAAATTTAACATCTTTACTACTACGATGTGATCTCTTCCCCTCCTTAATGCATTCGTCCCTTTTGTTATGAATCACAGAGTTTAGTGTTTCATCATTTTTAACATCCTTTATATTTTCATGACATAAAGGCTTTCCAGATTCACTCTGGATTTCGCCATTTGATTTAATGTTTTTGTCGTTAACTTCATCATCTAAAATCTCACCTAGTTCGTTTAATTCTTCCTCACAGTCATCAAGATTTAAACTATATACATCTTGGTCATTTTTACACGTCCCCGGTATGTAAATCGGAGCACGAAATTCTATAGCTAAGGATGGTTTAGATGGGCTAGCATTTAGAGCTGGTTTCTCAGGTTGATATTCCAACTTTGGCTTGGATTTTGTAATTGTAGGGGGTAGTGGTAGCAATTTAGGCGTAGGCTTATACTCCGGCACCGTTACATTAGTTGAAGTGGGAATTTCGTCTGGCAAAATATGTAGTAAAAAATTTAAGCATATGTACATATCTAATATACTTAAAAGATACGTACCTTTCCGCACATGCTTAAAATGACAATAGGGTCTCTGACAGGATTGTGTCCCAATACCTACACCAGAGCTCTTTGTGGCCGCATAATATGGACATGGGAATCCTTTAAATAAGCCAAGTGAAGGTAACATTTTCTTGTTTATAATTTGCGCATTGTGTAACACAAAATGCTCTTAAGTTTGTTTAATTTGACTATTTCATCAAATTACTTGCTAGTTGCAGATAACATGGTTGCCGGCAAAAATGGAATTCCAAGATTTAGTTGAACCACTACAGGGCGACAAAGTGTAAGAGGATTACATAAAGAGCCAAAAACACCACACAAATAGCTTGTGAAACCTTCTTTTGCTTTGAAACTAAAAGTGTGTTTGCATTGTTCAACTTTGCGTTCAACATTTGCGTTCAACTCAGCGCAGGGTTGCACGAAAAAAAGTTGAATGGCTAAAAATATCAAAATATGAAAAAATATCAAAATATTCGCCATAAAAAGGTGTTTGCATTGTTCAACTTTGCATTCAACTTT